AAAAAAAAAAATTGGTGAATAATTTTTTTTCCAGAGCTATTTCTACATGAATGAGATTGAGGGTAAGTTTGAGTTAGTCTATTTATTTTCAATTTAATAATGTCACGGCTGGGCTCAGTGACTCAGCCTGTAATCCCAGCACTTTGGGAGGCCGAGGCGGGTGGATTGCCTGAACCTGCCAGTTTGAGACCAGCCTGGGCAACTTGGCGAGATCTTGTCTCTACAATAAGTAAAAAATTAGCCGTGCGTGGCAGCGCATGCCTGTAGTTCCAGCTACTTGGAAAGCTGAGGCAGAAGGATCACTTGAGCCCAGCAGGTCGACACTGGAGTGGCCATGAGCATGCCACTGCACTCCAGCCTGGGCGACAGAGTGAGACTCCAAATCAAAAATAAAAAAATTTTTTTAAATGTCACTATATATATATATATATATATATATATATATATATATATATATACACACATACACACACATACATATATGTATCAGAACATGTTATATGTCAATTTTGAACATAAATAAAATTGAAAAAAACAAAGGAGAAGGACAAGGAAAGGAATACAGAATCTAAAATTAAAAATATTTTTCTGATGGATTGTCTAGCTCAAGCTCAGCGAGCTTTGCTGCAATAAAGGGGGAAGCAACAGGAAGAGGTGGCAGAGTTAGATAGAGTGCAGCGAGACGATCTATTGATTAGAGGGAAGAAAGCTGTATCTTTTTGTTTTTAATGTAGTGTTGTAAAGAGTCTTAAAGGTCATCTATCTAAACTAGCTGCCATCTGACACTTAATCTCGTCCTGGGTATCCTTCTATTAATTGTCCAGCCTGTGTTTGAATATCTCTAACCACAAGGAACTCATGCCTCCTAAACAGCTCTGCCTACCCCTAGCAAGTTTTTTCTTGTGTTGAGTCACAGCTTTTCTCCAGTTTCCATCCATTGGTCCTAATCCCTTTCTCTGGAATAGCACTAAAGAGATTCAGTGACCCTTTTAAATATTCAAAGGCAGCTTAAAATTCTTCTCTGCTGTAGGCTAAATATTTTCAGTTCTCACCTGGTCTATCCCAGGCTTTCTCCTGAGACTATCACCCAATTAACTTCCCTAAAAGTCTGTACTCTCTTTTAACAAAACTGGTAGATGGGCAATTCTGCAGCATTTCATTAGAACAATCTCCTCGTGGCATAGTGATTAAGAAACCTAGTTTAGAAGCAAGACTTGGATTGTACCTTTTTTATTAACTGTCTGATCTTGTACAATTTCTTAATCACTAAACATGATTATTCTCAGTTATAAAGTGGGGATTAAAATAGCGCCCGCTCTGCAGAGTTGTGAGAATTAAATGAGATAATGAATGTAAAATGCTTCAATGCTTACAGTGTGCCACTTAGTCTCTTAGGTCCTTACATGTACTTGAAGTCTATCATTTAATTCTTTTGAAATGATGAAACGGGCTACTGTTTTTATTCTAATTTTAAAGATTTGAAGACTGAGTATGTTGGAGACCTTTTGTTTGCTCCTCTAGATTCAGTTTTTTGTTGTTGTTTTTTAAACACTGGGTCTTACTATGTTGCCCAGACCAGAGTACAGTGGCACCATAATAGCTCACTGCAACTTTGAACTCCTGGGCTTGAGCCATCCTCCCACCTCAGCCTCCCAAGTAGTTGGGATTACAGGCAGGCACCACTACGCCTGGCTATTTTTGTTTTGTACTTTTTGTGGAGAAGGGGGTGGTCTCACTATGTTTCTCAAGCTGGTATCAAGCTCCTGGTCTCAAGAGATCCTCCCGCCTAAGCATCCTGAAGTGCTGGAATTGCAGGCATGAGCCACCATACGTGGACGAGATTACTTTTATCCCTTCACCACCCAACACTCTGTATCAGGAGAGGCACTTAAATGGACAACATCAAGGAACTCCCTTACCCTTTGCTTTCCTGTTGGGTTGGACCACTAAAGAATATGGACAGGAAACTGGCAGAGTGAGGTTGGGTATTTATTCCCTTGTGCAGTTGCTACCTCCATCAAAGATTGTACTAGCCGGGCTCGGTGGCTCCGACAGAGTGAGACTCCGACTCAAAAAAAAAGATTGTACTCAAGGCAGTCATCACACAACTCTCCTGACTACTCTTCCGCTCTTTCCTCTCATTCCTAGGCCTGGTGACAGGGTTCTGTATTATCCTTGATGATTTTGCTACCCCTGTCCACTGGTTTGCATACTTGTTAAACCTTTGTCAAACTCTCTTCCAATAGGCCAGTTTGAGATGTCATCTGTTTCCTGCTGGTGTTCCCTGTCTGGTACACCGAGACCCAGAGAAGTCAGGTAATTAGCCCAATATTCCACAGTGAACCGTGCAAGGCCAGGATGAACACCCAGGTAGCCTGTCTGAAGAGTCCAGACTCCCAATCACTGAGCTGTACTGCCTCTTGCCACATAGTTAGTGAGCAAAAACTGCTCCCTTGTTTACTGTGCATTATACAAGTTTAGAGGAGGGTCTTTCATATTTACTGACACCGGCAGAAAATTGGAATCCACAACAGAAATTAATTTTTAAAAAAATTTTATGATGTTATTTAAAAATACACTTGTATAAATCTTGTTTTTCCAGAATTCGAATGAAAGACGACGTTCGTTTTTTGGTTTTTGTTTTTAAACAGTTTCTGGCTAGTTAGCACTGAAATGTCGCAGGTGGAATACATCACACAGGTTCTTTTTCTGTCTCTTTTATTAGATCTGGGCATCTAATAATGATATTCTAAGAAACGCAGGCTACTATATCCAGCGCCAGAATGTGTGTGTGTGTGTGTGTGTGTGTGTGTGTTTTTAAACTAGAGTCTCACTCTGTCACCGGGGCAGGAGTGCAGTGGCGTGCTCACAGCCACCCCAGCATCTACCTGCTGGTCTCCGGCAATCCTTCCGCCTCAGCCTTCCAAGTGGCTGGAACTACAGGCACGCGCTAACGCCCGGCTAATTTTTTACTTATTGTAGAGACAGGGTCATTGTCTCACCAAATTTCCCAGGCTGGTCTTGAACCCTCAGACTCAGGCAGTCCACTCGCCTAGGCCTCCCAAAGTGCTGGGATTACAGGTTGAACCGAGCCCAACCCAGATTGTTTATATTTTTAAACAAGTTACTAACTCAAAAATCTTTTGTAAGTACAGCATTCCAAGGTAGGCAAGCATTTGATAGTAAAATACTACATTTTATTCCTGGATAAAATGTAACACAATCAGAAGTTGAAATCTCAGAATCTCTGTATTGTTATTCTCATACTTAAGCTCTTAGAAGTCCTGCTTTTTGGGGTATGTCTTTGTCTTTTTAGAAAAACTGTGGCTTTATATGTTATGATGCTATGGAGATCATCTTGTTCCTTTCAGATTATAACTGTATGTGACAACAAGATAAAAAGTGGGGGAAATTGAAGTTATCATTTGGTATTAAACCATTTATATCCGTATGCCTAGTTAAATTTTCACTTTTTATTTTATTTTTATTCCTATTTTTAAGCTAGGCAAGTGAAATAGTGGGAATGGAGAAGGAACAAATAAATCTATAACTAGTTGTGATCAATTTGTTGTAAACACCACTGGACCAGCCATTTTTTTTCTTTTCTTTTTCTTTTCTCTCTTTTTTTTTTTTTTTTTTTTTTGAGTCAGGGGTCTCACTGTCACCCGGGTTGGAGTGCAATGACACGATCATGTCTCACCACACCTCAAACTTCTGGGCTCAAGAGCAGTCCTCTGTGGGCACATGCCACTATGATCAGCTAACCACTTTTTAATGAAGTTTTAATAATCAGAATGAGAAAGAAAAGACTGCAAAGGAAAAAAGAATGCAAAGTGAATACCTTCTTCTGAGGTGCCCAGGACATTTTGCCATTGTTCTTATTGTAACTGACAGTTCTCACAGATTTAAGTTTTCTTATTTGAATTGATTTTACTACAGCACCTTCATTGTGGGATGTCAGAAAATCCAAAATAAATAATATGCTATGTGAAAAGGGTATTTTGGGGGAAAACGGAATCCAATAGCTACTTACTACTGTACTTTTTTTGTCAGTGTAGAAGAAGAGTGTAGTTCCTCTCAACTCTGTCCAATAATGTTTATACTCCTGTGGGAAGGAAATGGTAAGCATCATTTCATTGGTATGTATTCAATGATTTTCCTATTGTCATTTTTCTTTTAACTTTCTTAATTGTTTGTATGATATAAGACTCTTCTTTATTTTGAATAATTCATTTAATTTGTATAGCTTAGCTTTACATTTAATTCTTTTTTTTTTTTCCTGAGATGGGTTCTGGAGTCTTGCTATGTTGCCCAGGCTGGAATCTCCAACTCTTGGGCTCAAGTGATTCGCCCACCACAGCCTCCTGTATAGTGGGATTGCAGGTGTGAGCCATCACATCCAGCTTATATTTAATTATTGACTAAATAATTCTGGAATTAATTTTACTTTAGTATAATGTTTTAGATAAGGATATATAGTCATGTGCTACATAGTGATGTTTGGTCAATGATGAATCATGGATATGGTGGCTGTCCCATTATAATGGAGCTGAAAAATTCCTATTGCCTAGTGGCATCATAACTGTCATAATGTCATAGTCCAGTGCATTACGCAGGTGTTTGTGGTGATGCTGGTATAAACAAACAACTGCGTTGCTAGTTGTACAAATATAGCAAATATAGTAATTTACAGTACATAGTACTTGATAATTAAATTGCTATGTTACTGGTTTATACCATACTTTTAAATCATTACTTTAGCATGTACTCCTACTACTTATTTTTTTAAAAATTGGGCAGGCATGGTGGCTCACACCTGTAATCCCAGCACTTTGGGAGGCAGAGGCAGGAGAATTGGTTGAGCCCATGAGTTCAAGACCAGCCTGGACAACCTAGTGAGACCTTGTATCTACAAAATAATACTAAAAATTTGCCAGGCATAGTGGCACATTCTATAGTCCCAGCTACTCGGAAGGCTGAGATGGAAGGATTGCCTAAGTCTAGGAGGTCAAGGCTGCAGTGGGCTATGATCGCCCCACTGCATTCCAGCCTGGGTGACAGAGTGAGACACTGACTCAAAAAAAAAAAAAAAAAAAAAGAGAAAATGTAGTATTCCAGAGAAGGCATTGTTATCACAGGAGGTGACAGCTTTGTGCATGCTATGTCCCTAAAAACCTTCCAGTGGAACAGATAGAAAGGTGGAGGACAGTAATATGGATGATCCTAACCTGTGTAAGCCTAGGCTAATGTGTGTGTTTGTGTCTTCATTTTTAACAAAAAAGCTTAAAAGGTAAAGAAAAAATTTAATCGAAAAAAGCTTATAGAAAAAGAATATAAAGAAAATATTTTTGTACAATGTGTTTTTGTCTTAAGCTAAATATTATTCAGATGTCAAAAAGTTTTAAAAATTTAAGAAAGTAAAAGAGTTACAGTAAGCTAAAGTTAATTTATTGTTGAAGAAAGACTTTTTTTTTAAGATGGCTGTAGTGGAGCCTAACTGTACAGTGTTTATGAAGCCTACAGGAGTGGACAGGAATATCCTGGGCCTTCATGTGACTCACCACTCACTCATGGACTCACCCAGAGCCACTCCAGTCCTGCAAGTCTCATTCATGGTAAGCGCCCTAGGCAGATGTATCATTTTTTATCCTTTATATCATATTTTCACTCTACCTTTTCTATGTTCAGATATCTTTACCACTGGGTTACAATTCTCTACTGTATATAGTACAACAACATGCTGCACAAGTTTGTAGCCTAGGAGCAACAGGGTATACCACACAGCCTAGGTGTGTAATAGGTTATACCATCGGATTGTAGAAGTAAACTGTATGATGTTCACACAATGATGAAATCACGTAACAATGCATTTCTCAGCATGTATTCCTATCGCTAAGTGACTCGTGACAGTCATTTTTTAAAAATTATTTTTTCTTTAGAGACAGAGTCTTGCTCTGTTCACCCAGGTTGAAGTACAGTGGTGCAATTGTAGCTCACCACATCTTCAAGCTCTTGGGCTCGAGCGATCTTCCTGCCTTGGCCTCCCAAAGCGCTGGGATTACAGGTATGAGCCATCATGCCTGGTTTATGACTGTAACTTAATTTGTGTTTATGTAAATCATTTTCCAAAATTTTCCTCATTGACTTAAGACTTTTTATACAGTTTCAGTGGAAGCTTGCACATGTAAGATGGGCCATTTAAGGGCCCAGGATTGGAGAAGCATATCATATCTACCTTCTACAACAGATGAAAAGACTGAATGAATTAATATATGTAAAGCACTTAGCAGAGTATATGGCTCATAGTTGGGGTTCAATAAGTAGTATATATTATTGGCATAGATCAAGGAAATGTGAGAAATTGATAAAAATTTAATACCATGAAAACTGAGCTTTGAAATCCAAGTTTCATTCATGTGGTGAATATTTAATTATTAATAAATTCACATTACTATGGGTTTCATAGTAACACAACTTTTAAGTTTAAAAAATATAAATAATCTGTTCAGACTCCCAATTTACTCAAGTGAAAGTTTATTTAAATAAATATGAAAGGTGTCTATATTATAAAAGAATGGCAATAAAGCCTTCCATATTTAAAGACTTACCTTCATACTTAGCTCTTTCCAAAAGTATGTTCTTAAAAATTTCAGTTAGTTTAATTGACATGTTGTTCATTCCTTCAGGGTTTAATAAGTTGAATTCCTGCAACTTGTTCAACCATCATGACTTATATATTGAGGATTAGTAGAAGAAATTCACATGAAGAACTGCTTTCTCTTTTTTTATTAATGTGAAGATACTTTATGGTATTTTGTGTCTGTTCAATCACAACATATAATTTATTATTTTTATTTTTACTAGTAAAATGTTTGTCACCAGGTCAGGCACAGTGACTCAAGCCTGTAATCCCGCGCATTTGAGAGGCTGAGGTGAGAGCCCTGGGGTTTAAGAGCAGTCTGGGCAACTTGTTGAGACCTCATCTCTACAGTTAATCAAAAAATTAGCCAGGTGTGGTAGTGCACACCTATAGTTCCAGCTACTTGAAATGCTGAGACAGAAGGATCACCTGAGCCCAGCAGGTCAAGGCTGAAGTGGCTGTGAGTGTGCCACTGCACTCCAGCCTGGACAAACGAATGAGACACCAACTAAAAAAGAAAAAATGTTTGTCACCTCTTCAGAATTTATATACTTATTTTCTCAAATAATGGAAACTCTATCACCCACTTTTGCTTTTAATTCTCTGGCTCCCAGGAAGCTAAATATTACATTCATTCTGAATTACAACCTACCACTTTTTTCTCATGTTCTTGGTTGAACTATTTTCTCCCTTTGTCTTCATGGCTACTAAGGTGCTATATTAGTAAGCTTTTTCCATTAGCAAGTCACCCTACAACTTAGTGGACTAAAATAAGCCAACCTTTTCTATTTCTCACCATTCTGTGGCTGGCTGATGTTTTCTCTGATCTAGGTCTACTTGGCTGTGGCTGAATGGTCTCGGGTGGCCTCACCGACTTGTCTTAGGGTTTTAGCTAGAGATGCAGAAATGATTGAGAAACTCAGGACAAATGGAGTCTCCCTCCCTGTGGTCTCTTATCCTTCTGTTAACTAGCCCAGTCTTGGTCACATGCTGTCAGAAGGATTCCCAGGAGCGAGAGAGCAAAATCCAATGTGCAAGCTCATGCTAAGTCTCTGTTGTTGTCACATTTACCAAATCACGTCACATGATTCAGTCCAAAGGTCAGAAAAATAGACTCAACCTCTTTGTGGAAGGAATGGAAAAGTCACACACCTCAAAACGGGGAGTGCATAAAGTGTGACTTGAATAAATTAGTAGTATTACTGCAGTCTACCTCAGTGGCAGAGTTGGAACTTGGGTCGTTTTTCCATTCCATCCTACCGCCCCCCCCCCAAGTTGAGAGCCGGCTATAGCATGTAATGAACCTGCTGATGCCTCTTGAACAAAGAACACATTGCTGGAGAAAAGAAAAATTCAAAAGGGCATATGATTGAAGGATCAACCACTAGATGTTCCCCAAAGGAGCAATTATAATATGAGGCAGAGAGGTTATTCCTCCTGTCTGGAATCCAGATGCCCAATGTATACCTGATATGTCTCAGAATCACGTCATTTAATAAGACAAGATATCTTAATTTCAACCCCACCTGAAGTTTTTTCTTTTCTTCTTTTCACATAGGCTGCAAAGTGTTATTGCTGTTACAGTAGCCCTTTAGCTGGTCTTTTTACCACCTTGTTACACTTTCCAATCTGTTTGCACAGTGCTGCCAGAGTGAATCATGTCTTTTGTAGAGAGTAGGACTGAGTATCTAACAGGTGGGCTTGGGAGGGAGCATACTCAGCTCAGGCCCCTCCTGTCCACTCACAGTGCAGTCTGTTCCCTGCCATGTGGCAAAGGGCTTCCAAGAAGTGCAGACTTGTGGCTCTGAAGCTGAGTCAATGACTCAAGGTGGCTTAAAGCTCCCTAAGTCTGAGGTACAACATTAGTACAATTTTGGCCTTAAGTTCTTTTGTTGTTTTTGCTATTGCTTGTTTGTTTGTTTGTTTTGACATAGGTTCTCCCTCTGTCACCCAAGCTGGAGTGCAGGAATATGGTCATGGCTTACTGCAGCCTCCTGGATTCTGGTGATCCTTCCACCTCAGCCTCTCAAGTAGTTGGGACTATAGGCATGTGCCATCAACCCAGCTAATTTTTTGATTTTTTGTAGAGACAAGGTCTCGTTATGTTGCCTAGTCTGGTCTTGAACTCCTAGGCTCAACCAATCCTCTTGCCTTGGCCTCCCAACGTTCTGGGATTACAGGAATGAACCACCATGCCTGGCTTTGGCCTTAAATCTAAACCACCCATTGATACACTTTGTCAATAATAAAAGTAAATTACCGATCTTCATTTGTGTGAATCTAAGAAGACTAGTCATGCTCTAGTGATAAGCCTCTGCAATGAAAAGCATGTCAAGGCTATTCTGTATTTTAGAATTTGGAAGGAAGTGAGGAGCATGCAGGAGGAGATGAGACTGTAGGGAATGTATATTGTTCAGGGAGCTTAATTATCAGTTGTGTAGTTTAACTAAAGTATGGCAGTATGG